TGTACTCATAGTCGCGCATGCCGTTGTCGTTAGACCATTGACCTCGCATCCCTACAAAGCCGGAACGGAGCACGCCGGGTTCTCACCGGACCAGGCTCTCACATCACCAAGCGCGAAGCGCCGTGAGGTGTTCGGCGAGTCGCATGAAGGGTGCGTTGCATCCTGCTAAGGGTGTTCGGCATCTTGTGCTACTTCCTTGCGTACGGATGACAGCTGCGTATGAATTAATTTATTTTCTGGTGCTTTCACTTCCAGAGACAGTTGTAAGCACTGTGTAACTGCCTCGAGGGTGCTTGACCATTTTAACACAACGTGGTGCGATCATCCCCTTCGCGCGGAGTGAGGGTTCTCCACCCCGCACAACATGATCTACTCGACGACCACTATGGTTACCGCCACAACAAAACCAGAAGTAAAAAAAAACGAAACGGTAACCTGGTTGCCGAGTTCATGAAGTGAATTGGCTTGTTTTACAACGTCGTTGCCAAGCGACGAAAACCCAATCCCGATGGCAAACACCGGGGGGGGCGGCTTGTTTTACAACGTCGTTGCCAAGCGACGAAAACCCAACCCCGATGGCAAACACAGGGGGGGACCATGGGGTGGAGAGATGCGGGGGGGGTGTACTCATAGTCGTGAATGCCGTAGTCGTTAGACCATTGACCTCGCATCCCTACAAAGCCGGAACGGAGCACGCCGGGTTCTCACCGGACCAGGCTCTCACATCACCAAGCGCGAAACGCCGTGAGGTATTCGGCGAGTCGCATGAAGGGTGCGCTGCATCCTGCTAAGGGTGTTCGGCATCTTGTGCTTACTTCCTTGCGTACGGATGACAGCTGCGTATGACTTAATATATTTTCTGGTGCTTTCACTTCCACAAGACATTTGTAAGCACTGTGTAACTGCCTCGAGGATGCGTGACAATAGTAACACAACGTGGTGCGATCATCCCCTTTGCGCGGAGTGAGGATTGTCCACCCCGCACAACATGATTCCCTCGACCACCATTATGGTTACCGCCAAAAAAAAAAAAGAGGTAAAAAAAAAAACGGCAACCTGGTTGCCGAGTTCACGAAATGAATTGGCTTGTTTTACAACGTCGTTGCCAGGCGACGAAAACCCAACCCCGATGGGGAGGAATGAGTAACCGAGCGCCAACACGGGGAAAGGAAGAACCGCCCGAGCCGAGCCCACACTGCCCGCGTACGAGGCAGCCTAATAACAACACAGAGGTAGGTTTGTCTTGAGAACAAACGAACACACAAGGGACAGAGAAACGTCTCAACTACAATCAGCACGTATCGTGACGTTGGAGATTGCTTGTTGGTGTATCTTTTCGTGTGGTGTCATGTGGTGGGCTCGAAACTAGGAACGGTGGAGGAATAACAAGCGCGACACGCGTCGAAATTTCTACATGAACCAACGCCACAGTGACACCAACTACAGGGAGTAACGAGAGCATTTCAGGTACAACATTGTTTCTCGAACCAAGAATGGTATCAACATCACACTCACGAGTTTCAAACCACACTGTTTGATGCCAAAAGCAACATCTGTATGCGCGGACGAAACGACGTTACCCCAGGTGACACAAGATATCGCACTTCCGGGCCGAAGTTCAAAGCTTGATTCCTCCAAGACTAGGAGAATGCATAAATGAAACGGTTATACGTTTTCGGAAAGCTCCCGACAAGCCGGTTCTAACGCCGGCTTTTCCGGCACCGCCACTCCTGCTGTGGAGCAATCATGCTTTCGGAAAGCGATCCGGGGGGTATGATATCTTGCGTCACCTACGGTACTTCGAGCGACGGCAGGCAGCGAATGGGACAACAAACCATACGTTCGAAGAGTGTATCAATTCTAGCACAGCTTCAGTTACTAACGTAGTACGCACCACGTGTTGCTCGGCCACGCTGTTGGTTTGCCATTCGTTCCGCCTCTGCCTTTCAAGGCGCAAATGCTTCTGCCGCTGTTGCTCCTTCGTCAAAGTCTGACGCAAAACGCAGAGGACGCGCGAAGAACAAGAGCGAAATAACGCGGCGCCGAGGTTTCGAACGAAAACGTAAAAATCGGCGACGGGTTCAATTTCCACGCACGGGAGGAAAACAAGAGAGTGAAGCTCGGCCAAAGAAGACGAAGGCGCGGAACCACAAGACGAAACGGCTTGCAGGCGTGCAAATCACGTGGTGTTGCTATATATTCATATGATCATGTGCTGGGACCCGAAGCTACGCAGTGCAACCAGGGTAAAAAAAAAGAAAAAGGAAACGCCTGGCAAAGCTTTGCTGCAGGGTGGCTGCGGCGACGGCGGGTGGGGGAGCTCGTTTCTCGTGTGAGGAGAAAAGAGGCTACGGACACGGCAAGGCGTTCGAAGAGGTCCACCCCAACCAAGGGACACGGGCATGATTCTGTTCTGGTGTTGGACAGAAAAATAGCTCTCTCGCTCTCTTGTCTTCTTGTCCCCCGCAGGACCGAGCCGGTCGACATTTACCAGGTTGCGGGGCACTCGAGTCACGTTGCCGTCTTCGCCACGAAATAAAAAAGCACCGCCAGTTGCTGCTGTTATTTTTGTTTTTCGTTTCAGCCACCTAAATAACTCGCCACACAAGCATCACCAGCAGCCGCCGCCGCTGTTGCTTTTCTTGCAACCACGACACAAGATAACACAACCCCTGGACCGATTTTCAAAGCTCGAGTTCTCAACAGCAGAAAGAAGTCACGGCGTAGAAAATGGAGGCGTTGAAGCCATCTCGGTCGGGAGCTTTCCGAAAACGTATAATCGTTTCGTTTGTGCATGTTCTTCGTGGTGAAAACCGAGCATTGACGATCGGTCCAGGGGGTGTGCTATCTTGTGTCATATACGGTACCTCGCCACCACAAAAGAAAAAAAAACAGATCGTGCTTCCTACCGGCGTTGCGCTTGTGCCTCACCCACGCACCTTGTCGATGGGCAGCGGCTGTGGGTGGTCGGCCGAAATCTTTTCCCACACGACCCCCATCCCCTTCTTGAGCCCCCCTAAAAGACCTCGACGTCGCCGCTCGCTGCCAGTACTGTCCTGCTCCGTTTCGGTATTTTTGTCGTTGTCACAGTCAGGGATCAACAGAGTTCGAGTTGTGGGAAATTCGAGGACGACGAAAGTAGATCGTGATACCGAGCTATAACTTGTACTCATGTGAGAAACAACACTGAACACCCTGAATAGGGTGGGCTGCTACAACATTCTCTAGTGTTAATGCTGCTGCTTCTCTTGCTCTCGTTGCATAATGGGTTTATGCCAACCCAACCATGTGTTGGACTGATGAAGACGGGGCGAGAAGGCTCGCCGAGGTTTTCCGAGACAAACCACAACGTTTTGCCGAAAAAAGCATATTGGACCCCATCCGGCGGGGGACCGCTACAGCACAATCAGTGGCGCTCGCCACCCTGCTACGTATGTGAGTGCCGTTACCCCACCTGCTATCCTCGTTGGGTATGCTTAAAGGGCGAGGGAGTTGCGTAACGCCAGCCTACCACGGTCTGCTAGGTGTCTCTAACGCCACGTCGCCACTACCCCGCAACCCCCTCCTGCTGCCATCGCCGATCCATTCTCTGTCCCGAAACAATTCCCCCACAACCCAGAAGCTTGCAGCAGTCCTGCCATCTCGCTCGCCCCGGTCGCACGCACCTGTGGGCGGTAAGACCTGCTTCTGTCACTCCCACAGGTGTCAGCGAGGCTGCTGCCGGACCGGCAGCTGTCGGCCAGCCCACCAACCTCGCGTTGGTTGCCGCCGCTGCTGCTGATGCTGCCACCGCCTAGCCTGGAACGGGCGTCGGCGCCGGCGAGGTCGATACCGTCGACGATGTTCTCCGCCCGGAGCTTCCGCGCGCGGAGGCTCTGCGCCCTCGAGGAGTAGCTATTGAGAGACCGGCTGCTGCCGGGGCGCGAGCCCTCCTCGTCGGCGATGGCGCCGCCGGAGGCGTTCAAGCCGCCGCCGGAGGCGCCGCGCTTCCCCCCCGGCCCGGCCGAGTACCCCGACGACGCGCTGAAGGCGAGGCTGCGGGCGGAGGCCTGCAGCAGCTGTCGCCGGAGCGAAGGGCGAGAGAGAGGGAGGTTGGTACAATATCGGTGGTGGTCAAGGGCATCTAGGCCGGAGGTAACAAAACTTGTGGTTTGTAGATATATGCACGGAAGCCATCTTGCCAACAGGAGTCAATCAACGGCCGACGTGGCCGACCAGCGGGAGCGGGAAGTTGAGGATAGGGGATTTGCGGCTCGGCAGCTGCGGCAGCAACTCGCCAAAGACGGAGAGGCAGGAGCAAAGAGGGGCAGAGAGAGGCGTTGCGCCGGCGGAGGAAAACAAATCGCGGCCGTCAGCCTGCCGGAGTCCCGAAAGGGGGCGAGAACACTGCTTCTCCGCAAGGATGGAGGAGTTCAACCCTGCTGCGAAGGTGCCCCAGTAGAAAAAACTCCGACCAACGTCAAGAGATTCAGCGTCTACAACAGCTGCTACTGCTACTGCTACTGCTACTGCTACTGCAGCCCCTGTTGTTGCTGTTGCTGCTGCTGTGGAGAGTGCGAACGATCAGGCGGTGCGAGATGCAGCTTCTGGAAGGCTACTACGGCCGACGGAAGGCGTCCTTTTCGGCATTACGAAAGTTGCTCAAAGAAAAACATAGCCCCATCACGCCTCTCTTGCCTCCTTATTGACACTTTCCCAACGAGAGACTTACCCAACCAAGGGACGAGGCACCGACGCGGATCACATTTCCACAATCGAACGACTCGTATGCATGTGTCACACCCTGTACAACAAAATTATCAACTACTTTTTGCTTGTTGCCGCGTGAGGTCGACACACAAAGCAAAGAAGTCACAAAATTTTACAAGACGGGAAACACGACGTCAGGCGGGGAGCGAGAATGAAACCAGTCGCCGATCGCTGCGCACCCACCTCCTGCTGCCCCTGGCCCCCCGGGCGTCGATCCCCTGCCCCCTCCCTCCTCGAACCAGCTGCGGCCCCCCCGCTCGCGCCGCAAGAAGCGCAGCACTGGCATACTTGTGCCGCAACCCCCTCCGCTCCCACTCTTTGCATAGCTGCTCCGGCCGCGGACCCTGCTCCCGTCGCTGTCCGCGCCCCTCCCCCTCCCGGCTCAGCTGCAGCTGTGGCCGCGAAGACGCCAGGCTGCGGCTGCTTCGTAGGCGTGTGGAAGTCGCGCGTCGAGAGCCGGAGGAGCCGCCCGTCCTTCCCCACGGCGACCTTGTGGCTGCCCTCGGCGCCGATGTCGTCGCCGTCAGCCAAGATGCCTCTGCCCTTGACGGCGGTGGCCGTCGCCGAAGCCCCCGGCGGCCGGGGTACGGTGGGCGCGTGCTTGCCGTGGGATGCCGCTCCTCGGCCGGAAGAGGCCTTGGTTGAACCCGCGACTGCAGCGGCGTCCTCGTCCCCCGCGGTCACCGCCGCCGCCGCTCGTTGCTCTCTCGCGCGCGCTTTTCTACGACGGTGCTTTGACCGAAGCGCTTGAGGTTCGCGAGGCGTGCTTGATTTCTCCCCTACCTGTTGCGGCCGCCAAATCGTATTGCGGGGGGGGGAGGGGGGGGCGTACTCTTATGTTTTGCATGTCTTAGCGGTTAGACCATTGACCACGCGTCCTCGAGAGGACGGAGCATTGCTCCCACAGGACCGATCACCGATGGCCAATCGTTCCTTTCTACTTTGCCAAAGGTGGCTCAAAAATGTCTTCCCTAGTCTGTCTATCCTAACGATATCACTTCCCGCCTTTTCAACCCACCTCCTATGCCCAGTACAGCTACCGTCCTTTCCTCTCTATTCCATGCCTCAAACATCTCCCTGTACGTTCCATCTATTTTTCCCAGCTCAGTCACGTACACTTCCCTCTCCTTCTTGTACAACGGACATTCCGCGACTACATGAACACGGTCTTCGCATTCGAAGCCGCAATCACATTTGAACTCGTCGTCTTC